GTCTGTCTGCCCTCTTTAGAACATACTTCCAAAACTTATTTCTTAAAGTGCATTCCTCAACACATTTCATTTATCTATTTAATCACTCCTTTCTCCCCCCCTCCACACTCCCATGTATCCCATGATGTATGGTAAACGTGTGCCAGGAGTAAAATTGGCAAATAAGTGGACTTGTTTACAACAACACAAAGGCTACAAGACTCTCATTCATCCGTCATGGGACAACAGCGGCGCGTCAATGAGGGTTTCCGGAAAAAAATGCCTCAGTGGCTTAAAGCGTTGGCTTAGCCTCTACATTCAAAGTCAAAACTGTTTTTCTTATTCCGGCTAGAAACACCTGCCGAGCCCACAAAGGTTCCTACCCTATATAGGCTGACCCGCCCATCAATCAGATGCTGCCATACATCATAAATCGCCTCTTACAGGCAGTGTGTCTATGTGTACATCTAAATATTAATGATCTATGTGTACATCTAAATATTAGTGTCCTCTTCTCCATTAAATTCACCTTCCATTTAACAACAGTCAACCAGATCGTATGTATTTTACCCGGGCAGACAGCTATGTTCTGAAAGTTTATACTAACCTTTCAGAGAAAATGTTTGTGTCCGCGAGCTTATGTTAGCCTCGCAGAATTAATTTATGCTGAAAGTTTATACTAACCTTTCAGAGAAAATGTTTGTGTCCACGAGCTTATGTTAGCCTCGCAGAATTAATTTATGCCGAAAGTTTATACTAACCTTCCGGAGTTAATGCGTCTGTGAGTTTATGTTAACCTCTCAGACTCAATTATTAGGTCTGTCTGCCCTCTTTAGAACATACTTCCAAAACTTATTTCTTAAAGTGCATTCCTCAACACATTTCATTTATCTATTTAATCACTCCTTTCTCCCCCCCCCCTCCACACTCCCATGTATCCCATGATGTATGGTAAACGTGTGCCAGGAGTAAAATTGGCAAATAAGTGGACTTGTTTACAACAACACAAAGGCTACAAGACTCTCATTTGTCCGTTATGGGACAACAGCGGCGCGTCAATGAGGGTTTCCGGAAAAAAATGCCTCAGTGGCTTAAAGCGTTGGCTTAGCCTCTACATTCAAAGTCAAAACTGTTTTTCTTATTCCGGCTAGAAACACCTGCCGAGCCCACAAAGGTTCCTACCCTATATAGGCTGACCCGCCCATCAATCAGATGCTGCCATACATCATAAATCGCCTCTTACTCTTAGTGTGTCTGTGTGTACATCTAAATATTAGTTTGTCTCTGAGTACGTGTGTGTGTGTTGTGCGCTTATCTGAGTCATGCGTAGATCTGGAGCTGCTCCTGAGGGGGCGACTCTCAGCACGTCCTGATGACGTCCTGATGGCGTGATGTCCTCATAGCGTCCTTATGGAGTCCTGATGGAGTCCTGATGGCGTGACGTCCTGATGGCGTCCTTATGGCGTCCTGATGGCATCCTGATGACGTCTTGATGGCGTCCTGATGACGTCTTGATGGCGTCCTGATGGCGTCCTGTTGGTCTGCAGAGACAAGGAGAAGAGACGTGAGGAGGATCATCAGGATGTGAGACAACATTCATAGATCCAATTATTTTAATTTGATACTTTTGTTTAATTATTTAATGTTTGTATGTGTGTGTAAGTGTACATTATATATTTGTGGTTGTTAAGGTGTATTTCTGTGTATGCTTTTTATGTTTAGTGCGTCTCTGTGCATACCAACACGGTAAGTGTGTTATATGTACTGTTATATGTGTGTGTGTCTCTGTATAAATACCTTTATATGTGACTGTCTCTGTGTAAGTAACTTTATATGTGTGTGTCTCTGTGTAATTACTTTTATATGTGTGTGTCTCTGTGTAAGTACTTTTATACGTGAGTGTTCCTGTGTAAGTACCTTTATATGTGTGTGTCTCTGTGTAAGTACTTTTATATGAGTGTCTCTGTGTAAGTACTTTTATATGTGTGTGTCTCTGTGTAAGTACCGTTATATGTGTGTGTGTCTTTGTGTAAGTACTTTTATACGTTAGTGTCTCTGTGTAAGTACTTTTATGTGTGTGTGTGTATCTCTGTGTAAGTACTTTTATATGTGTGTGTGTGTCTCTGTGTAAGTACTTTTATATGTGTGTGTCTCTGTGTAAGTACTTTTATATGTGTGTGTGTGTGTGTGTCTCTGTGTAAGTACCTTTTATATGTGAGTGTGCTCTGTGTAAGTACCTTTATATGTGTGTGTGCTCTGTGTAAGTACCTTTTATATGTGAGAGTCTCTGTGTAAGTACTTTTATATGTGAGTGTCTCTGTGTAAGTACTTTTATATGTGTGTCTCTGTGGAAGTACCTTTATACGTTAGTGTCTCTGTGTAAGTACTTTTATATGTGAGTGTCTCTGGGTAAATACTTTTATACGCTAGTGTCCCTGTGTACATGTACATGATAACAGCAGGAATCAGAGGTTTATCTCGACGTACTAACTCCACGTCACAGCTTCCGTTACCCGATAGTACAAACACGTGATTTACAGCAGTACGGCTGCAGTCTGTCTGGATTCCTCACTTACCTCGAGCTCTGTTGAGTGCAGCAAAACGCGTCTTCATCTCCTCTTCAGACTCCTGAGGCGTCACGATTGCTTTCTGCAGATTTCTGTCCGGAAAACTTCAGTGTGTGTAGATGTGAGGTTTGAAACTAACTGACTGAATGTGCCTCAGACTGTGTTTCTAATGCTGTGGTGAATGGAGCATAGAACATAGAACATGGAGCATAGAACACGGAACACGGAACATGGAACATGGAGCACGGAACATGGAACATGGAACATGGATCATGGAACATGGAGAAATCCTGATGTCACCTGTCTATGTTTACAGTGAAGGTATCTAGAATATAGAAATGAGCCTTTAAAGTAAACGTGTATGTAGACGGTGTATTTGTATTGATGGAGCTCATCCACTTCACATGGTGCATAAAACACTTTGCTATACCGTTTCTTTTTCTATGACCCGTTCATCTTGATCATGAAAGCAAAGGCTTTAAAGAATCAATAAAGAACGATATTTGATTTTTGTCCCAATGGAAAGCACAAAATTTGGCTCAGGCCTCCATTTTCTTTCATTAACATTACATGATTTGGATGGATTTTGTGTGTACAAAGATTTTAATATGTTGGATATAGAATAGTCCACCTGAATTGGTTACATTTGGTTCTATTAGCTAATTTAAGTGACTAAGTATTTAACATGAACTGACTGACCCGAGCCAGCTTTCGTCATGCTAATGTTAGCGAGAATTAATGAACATTTATTGATTAATTTACGTTTTGTGAAACAATTGTTTGAATCCAACAATGTGTTAAACTTCTAAGAGCAAAAATAGCCTTGAGATATCTTTACTGGCAAGTATGTCAACGTTAGCTTACATTTCTGTAATGTTGGTGTCCAGTTAGCATGTCTAACGTTAGCATACCGAAGATTTTGGCGGGCGGGACTGCCATGGTTAAATGTTCTAATATCAGTGGTGTAACGTTAGCTGCTTATTAGAAATTTTGCGCATGCTTACATTAGCTACAAGGTTTGCCCGGTCGTACTTTCTGGATTACACCACAACCTCAAGGTAATGTGGTTTATGTTAACGTTACATAAAATTGGGTCTTAGCTGCCTCAGAAAGGCCGCATTTACTGGCGGCACATTTTCCTTTGTAAATACCTGCCCTCTCGTACAGCGCGGAGGCACATTAGCGCAACTACACTGAGCCGGGTGAGGCTACATTAGCTTGTTACCAAGCTAATTACACGACTTGCACCCAGGTCTCTGTTAAGACTAACGTTACATCAGCCGGTGTGTGCGTGTTTGACGCGGTAGTTCATACATTTGTCAGCAGTGCGGGGTCCGATTGTTGGACTAAATTATGTCGGGGGTGGTGTTAAATGCTAAAAAAAAAAGAGACTGTAACATGTGTGTTCAAAAATTGTGAATATAAAACCAACATCTATGAGAACTTCAAAAGCCATAAATATAGAAAAGACTCTGGTGCAGGGAATATCTTTAAGCTTAAGGGGAATTTTTCTCACATGTTGAACTTTACTAACTTGTGATCTCTTCTCAGATTGCCATGGCTGGTTCGACACCTGCAAGACTCAAGGTGATTTTGGGAGAGAGCAACATAGAGAAACTGACGCTTCCAAATGGCCTACCAGAATCGCTAGATGATCTTCACAGCAAGATCAAGACTACCTTTGGGTTAAAGGGCAACCTACGACTCCAATACATGGACCAAGACTTTGGCAATGACTTCTTCAATCTCAATTCTACAACTGACTTTCAGGATTTGGGAACAATTAATGTGATCCAGGATACAAATCCACCTTTGATCAGTGCCACTGAGACCACATCCTGTAGTTCTCCTTCAATTGAGTCTGACGGTGTTTCCCATTCATCAAATGACACAATAATGCTCTCATCCCCAGAGTCTGTGTCATCTCGAACCAAACAGTGGCCACAGGAGTTTCCAATTCCAAAATGTTCATACGACACAGAGCGGCAGCTGGCAAAGGGGAATGCTGAATGACATGGGAGAAACCAGATGTTGACAGTCAACTCCCGAATGAAATCTGATATCCTGAATGTCTATGGGTGTGCCGCTCAAACTTCTTCTTCGCGCCTCTTTTTTTTCAGGCTACATACTACTTTAGCGCATCTCTGCCTCTCAGGTTTGAGAAGGAACTGCAACTCTAAACAAGAGTGCAGTTTACATTTAGTGCCGTGGCCCGCCTCTGACCGGGCATATAGCCAATCATATTTTAAGATATTGGGGTGGCACTTGGGGTGGCCAATCAGATTTCAGGGGTGGCCCGTGCCACCGTAGGCCACTCCCTGAACACGCCAGTGCCTCCTCCGCTTCGTGCTGTGCTGAAAAATTTACCACAACATAAGCGCCGCTGAAAACATTACGTTGCAACCGGTCCGCCGTATCCTAAAGAATAAACAAATGAAAAAGTAACCAAATCCGTGATTTCAAAGCCTTTTGTCCAGCTGTCATGTTTAATGAAGAGAGAGATGCAGACACACAGGCAGAAAATGTAATGACAGTTTTACAAATTAGACACGGTCACTAGTTTTGTTTAATATTGAGTTTTAAGTTGAGTTACATGACAGTCTGGTGAGGGATGTTGTGGTATACCATTAGTGTAATGCTGCTTATGCTAAAACAGTACAAAAAATGTGTGTGTGTGTGTTGTCAGCTTTTGATTATTATGCACAACATCGTTTCTCATATGCAAAATTTGCAGCACCACCCGCAGACTTCTGTGTAATTCCACAGGCTTCTTGTAATTTGCGACTTTGGGCTATACAAAATAAATAAATTGGATTGAATTAAATGCTAAGAAAAGAGAGATTTCAAAAGCAGAAGGACAAACAAAATATCCTACTGTGTTTTTTTATTTGTTTACTTTATTAGTATTTTTACTTAATTTTGGCGATGGGTGCCCTTTTGTTTTAGTTTGAGCACCTGCCTCCCAAAATGTCTGTGCACGTGCCCGGTGTCCTCTAGGGCAACAAAGTATGACACAAGTCCAACAAGTCGAGGGAAACACGGTCCGAAGTGTGGTGTCGTCGATCAGGAGTTTCATGTTTGGTGTTCAGGGAGTCGGACACAAACAGATTTCTGGTGTTTGGGTGGTCGGTGCCATTTTGCCTGCATCTTCTGTTTCCATGGTGAGAGTCTGGAAGACATGAAGCAACAGCTCCGTTACTTTGCCTTAATGCCCTCGTATTTCAACAAATATATCGGATTCATCTTCTTGATAAAATGTCTGCAGATGGAATATTATATTATTGAAGACCTTTTGTTAATGTTCCCAGTTTAACAAACATCATCATTCATTGATTTCAACAATGATCATCATCGGATTTTTAGGGGCTACAGATCTTCCAAAGCAGCATGTAAGTGATTGGATATTTATTTATATCAAAGTGTTAACATTAGAGACTTCTTGATCACTAACCCCCTGATGCAGTCGTTGTTTAAAACAATCCAGAGCTTTGTTTCATGGTCTTCAAGGTGGGTAAGACTGAGGCAATGGCTAAAGATGCATTTCCTTTTTTCAGAGTGTTATATCTTTTTTTGTGTTTTTCTTCTTAAGTAAAAAATATGTATTACTGTGGACAGGTGTTGTGAATTGCGTTTTCTTGTGCATAATTGTATGTTATAATTCTAATGCTGCTGTGATGTCCATATGGCCACCATTCATTGTCACCTTTTAAATGCATTCGTTTAGTAAATGGGAGGAAATTAATGGTTTTGAATTAATGGGGTGATGTTTTCAAAATGTATCTCGGTGTCTTCGAGGATTATCGCACTTTTCCAGTTTGTTCTTTCTCTCCTTTACGCACCGACTGCGACACTTAAAACCCGAACGAAAACTAGGCGGTCAGAATATTTAACCTTTAAAATAACCTCTGGTCATGCATTTTGAAAGCATGGCAGATGTTAGTTTGATATATTGTGTCAAGTTTAAAGTAAATATTGAACACTACAATTGAGAGCGCTCAAGAGGTTTCCTCTTTTCATTTTCAAACGTCCGAGTTTATCTCGATTACGTTTTTGCAGAGAACGGGCCAAATGTAGCACATCCTTTCATTTAAATCAAATTATTCTCTGCGGGCACAAGGCTCGTAAATCGCCTTAATTATGTCCCAACCTATAGCGAATTAGCCTTAACTACCTCTGCCTACATGGTGTTTTTGTACAGAACCCCCACTTGCAGGCAATAAGAATACGATTTGTTGCTTCCCGACACGAGAAACAAACACGCGCCCACGAGACCTTCATCTCTGCGCAAGCTAAGGGGATCAACGTGCACGGAAACATCAAACGCGCGCTCCTGTACAGCCGCGCAATTAGGAATATTGTTGCAAACCTCTGCTGACGTTACGCCGACGTGTACACAACGCGTTCCCGTGTTTGTTTCTGCTCTGTTGGGTGGATGCAGCGGGGTTAACGTACACACGTTTTGTCGTCTGGTTCTGCACTTTTTATGAAAGTGCACAGATTACAACGCGTGGCTTTTAACACAAAACAAATTAGCAGCCTGGTCTTCTAAGGAGGCGTTTTTCTGGAAGTAGTTTTGTTTACATGCCGCTGTATTTTCGTCACCAAAAATCGGCTGAGGTTCTCACTTTAGTCGGTGTCTTATTCACCGCCGCTTCCGCCCCCACCTGCCCACCCGGCTCAGCTCCCATGCTGGCCACTGTGCGTCAAGGATAATGTTTACCGGGGGGAAACGTGCTGGACTCGTTTCCCGTGAGGTTCCTCTGGTTGCTGAAATAACAAAAGGTCATTGGTGAAAGATCAAAAGGTCTCAGCAAACTGCTCCATCTTCAACAATTTCTTTCTTTTGACCAAACGGACACCTGAGCTATTATAGATGAGTCCACATGAGGACGCTGCAGCCACACAGCCGACTTCCACACGTCTCCTACCTTGATTTGAATGCATGATAGACATTCTGTGAATAATATAATATTCTTACATGGGAGTTTGTTCTTTTTCTGCAAAACTATATATATCTCCTCAAAAAAGTACAATTTCCGATTCTATTCCGAAAATATAAAACGTATGCAGTTTTATGTAATGAAACTGTTGGGAGACATTTTAGATTCAAATTGAACGCACCGCACTGAGAAAAGGAAGATGTAAAGTGTAAACAGGGTCAATATGACCCCCAAAAGCTCAATATTTATATCTGGATAATGATAATAGTTTTAATTTTTCTAAATAATAAATATCTTGGGGCTTTTATTTTGTTATTTGTTTACAGAATATTTCTTATTCTATTTATCAATGTATTCCACAAACAGATATATACTGGTTTACCTTGTACACTGTAAAATGTAATAGTTGTCCTGACTTACATTTAATTAGTCAACTTTACTCAGCTGTCAAAAATATCCTTTCTTACTCACTTTTACGAAGTAACAGTTTATTGAAAGTGGAAAAAAGCCATACCGATTGGTTCAAGTAAAGTTAACGTACAACACTTTGCCAAAATTTGGCAATGGTCCGAACAACAACGCAGAACCCAACATCCGGTCCATGTGAGGTGGATCGCTGCCTCAGAAACGGAAGCAAGAAAGACACTGCATGGATTTTGATCCACTGGCATTGGGTGATGATGCCTGGGCACAAGTCATCGGTGAAGATGTACTGCGCTCTCCAAATCGACTCCACCTTGACGCAGCGTCTACTGCAATCATTGTTATGGATGATCTCCTAAACCTACCTCAAGCACTTTGCCTCTTGTTTGGGCTATCATATGCCGTACACTTGGACTGCCCTAAAGCCATGAAAAACACGTTTAACTTCATTCAAAAAGCGATGGTTGGCTGGGGGACTTACACCAAAACTTCAAACCCGTAAAATTCTCCTGTTGAGTTAAAATATAAATGGCCGCATGAGTGACGTTCGGCATTGGATCTCACTTGTTGATCACAAAAGTATAGTTTCAGTTTTTTTTTGTTATGTTGGCGAAATTAAGGGACTCAAAATTTCATCAGTAGGTCTGTCTAGACCTGCCGGTGTATGTTTGAAATACAAGTGTGAGATCGATTGCCTGCCATTTATCTTTTCACGGCTATTGGTTTTGCTATTGGTGTTAATGTAGGAAAAAATACATTGTTCACAATATCCCTGTGGAAGTGAGCATTTGGTGTTTAGGATTGTTATTGTAAAACTTACAGGTTTTACTGGTGTTTTTTTTTTAATGTCGTTATATGATGCATAGATGCCCGTCTTTTCTATGACAATAGTTGCACACTGTCTCTTAAGTGTTTTAAACACGTATGTGCTCTGTGCCCTTCTTGAGATGTAGTGATATTAAGCAATGCTGACTTTTTAAGAACAATCCTGTTTACAGCACTTTAAATCTCAATGTCTTGCCAAAATATGTGCTACACTGAGGCTCCTCCTATACTGCTAACTGTTCAAAAGATGCACCCTTGTCTTGCTTCTGAGTAACTAAAACTGGTTTGTTGTTGCATTCAATTTAAAAAGAACCAATGCTGGTTGTTATGGAAGTAAGAAAAAATAAAAGCATATCATATAATTGAACGTTGTTTCTACTTTAATTTATTATGTATAACTAATTGGGATTTAATTTCAAGAGAACATTACCCGTTTTTCATTATTGTATAGGATGTTTGAAGCACTTAAGTTACACAAGTAACGTGAACTTGGTTGCTTTAGGGCAATCTGTTTGCATGGTTTAATCAAGTAAATTACTTTTCTGTTCAAGTAGATAATACTGAGGCGGCACGGTGGCGTTGTGGTTAACACTGTCGCCTCACAGCAAGAAGGTCCTGGGTCCAACTCCGCCCAGTGGCCTTTCTGTGTGGAGTCTGCATGTTCTCCCTGTGTCTGTGTGGGTTCTCGCCGGGTACTCCGGCTTCCTCCCACAGTCCAAAGACATGCTCTGGGGATCAGGTTAATTGGAGACTTTAAATTGCCTGTAGGTGTATGAATGTGAGTGTGAATGGTTTACCCTGCGACCCTGTGTGCAGGATGGATGGATATGAATAGATAATACTGATATATTTCTAGTTGCAGAACTTGTAACCTTAGTTAGCCCAACTTAAATAAATGTGTTCTTTGTAATGCACACAAAGTATACTTCACTTGAAATAATTCAAGTGAATTTAAAATGGTCAGTTTAAAATGGTCATTTTAAGTAGGCTATACTAGTTCAAAAGTACTCCTGAGTATTTCTTAGTTACTTCAACTGAAGTGTAAGTATACTACACTAAATAAGCTCGTTAGTACAACATATAATACATAATTAACTTTACTTGAACGTAAAAGGTTCCTTTACTTACTTTTTTAAGGCAATCGGTTTGCATGCTTTTAAGTTTTTAATCGGATTTTACAGTGCATTTCCTGTATTCCGAGGCTTGCTATTCGCTCCCTGTTCACGCGCCCATAAAGAACCCACTCTGATTGGTCTACTTCGAACCCATCCTATCCAATCCCTAGTTGAGGTTTAAGGTAATCCCGCCTTAGACGTAGATCTCGGCTAACCATTGGATAAAACACCTTTCACTCCAAATACAAGCCTAGCGCTCTGCTAAAACTCATACCAACTCATGCCTTCAACGTCATATAGCAAGAAACGCAGCTTATCGTTGGCATAACGTAATCACAGCCCAAACCATGCACGTCTCCTTACTTCTCCTCGCAAAGGTACTGCAGTTACATCGTCAGCAGTGTGTGTGTGTGTGTGTGTGTGTGTGTGCCCTTAATGTGAACCATATGACGGACAGATATTGCTTAGTCATGGGCCGAAGAGCAGGTAGGAGGGATCTTCGGATCGCATCCCATTGGCTGCTGGAGAAAAACTGTAGCAAAACGGTCTGCAATAGTTTATTCTGTCTACGTGAGTTGAGTAAAACAAAACAAAAAACTCGAGCCAAAAAGCTATGGCGTCTCAAACTAAGGTAACTAGTTGACACGAGACATTTGAAGCGCGATACGTTTTTGCACCTGGGCTCAGTTTTGTTCTTTGTTTATTTTCCTTATAGCCAGTTCTTCATGGATACTTCAGAAGTTCCTGCTCCTGGAGGGTTCGCATCGGTGAGTCGTGCACCAGCATCGGACTACCGGCCTGTTCATTAAATGCATTTACAATGTTAACCAAGTTTGCTCTCTGTACATCAGCCTTTGCTCTCAAAGGCATCGAATATGACCCAGTTCCAGTCAATCTAATCCAAGACGGAGGTCAGCAGGTAGTGTACATATTACGTAATGTATTAAGCATGACGCACTGGGTCAGTGTCCAGCCTGTATTTGTCCCACAATTGTTCTATTTGTACTCCAGCTTTCCGAACAGTACAAGAAATTAAACCCCATGCAACAAGTTCCTTCGGTTGAAATTGATGGCATCACCGTTTCTCAGTCAGTAAGTCCCCGAACTGTTCACCCATTGCAATGACATGAATTAAACCATGCCTCAGTTGACATATTTGTATAAATAGTAAAAGTGGTTTCTTACCCACGCAGCTGGCTGTAATCCAGTACGTCGATGAGACCAGGCCGGGGCCTCGCCTCCTCCCCGCGGACCCAAAGGGTCGCGCCCAGGTTCGGATGATAAGTGACCTCATTGCCTCTGGGATACAGCCTCTGCAGGTAAAACATCCCGCGCATGTCACAATGATCGCAGGCAGTTTGAACAGCAAAACAAGCTGCAGATGTGACATAATTGCAACAAAAAAAAAATACAGTGTTACACATAACTTCACGATGCCAAATTGCGGATGTTTCAGAATTTACACGTGCTCCAGAAAATTGGAGCGGAAAAGGCGCAGTGGGCTCAGCACTTCATTGAGCGCGGCTTCCAAGGTGGGCGTAAGACCTGTGAGCCTTCATCCCTCCACGGCCTTTGTGATAAGATTTAGAAGTATCTTTATTTTCATTCCAGCTCTCGAGCCCATTCTGAAGCAAACAGCGGGGAAATACTGCGTAGGTGATGAGGTAAGAGGCGTGGGGAGACAGTGAGATGTACGGCACAGACTTTTTATTTAACTCATTGCTTTGCTTACCTCTTAGATATCCATGGCAGACATCTGTCTGGTCCCACAAGTCTACAATGCAGAGAGGTATGTAAATCAGACAGTTCATAAAAACTACGACAAACCTCCAATTAACATCGAACAGAATATAAAATGTTTTGTCGTTTTAACCCCGTTGAAATTAAACCAGACCAACTTTAAAATCATCCTTTATACTGAGAAGCACGAAACCTCTCTATTTTCTACAGGTTCAAAGTGGATGTTGGGCAGTATCCAACCATCAAAAGGTTAAACAGAACCTTACTTGAGATGGAAGCGTTCAAAGTGACCCACCCATCTTGCCAGCCAGACACGCCTGCTGATCTGCGTTCATAGAATGACTCTGCAGCTTTAGAGACGGCCATGCAGCTTGGTCACTTTGTTAAATAAATTGCTTAGAAAATGATCTCGCCTTGGAGTGTTACTGAAAATAAAAGATATTTATTGTCTTTTTACATTTACATTTTTATTTACCCTAAAGTACACGAATGGGGAACAAAGGAAGAGGACATGGAGTAACGTGGAAAACATTCAGATCTGAGATTTGGAAACATAATAAAAAGATTTGAATGGAATAAAAATTAAAAAAAGTCCACACTGCTAAATACATTTTAAAGTTATTTCTGTCAGGGAAGGTCACATAATTAAACTATTTAAAGAAAAAATAAGCTAAAAAAAATTGTCCTGAACGCATCCTCCCGCTCATCACTTGTCAGGAGGAATCTCCACTGTGCACTTGACCGTGTCGTTGTAGAAGGTACCGGAGCAGTCGGAGCCTCCAAACACTAGCAACGGGACGCTGACATTTTCACCCCCTTCCTGCCTCTCTGCGTCGGACAGGACGGTGCGGCCCCAGGTGATCATGCTGTGTCCTGCACGAGGCTTTGAGCAAAGCGCAGGAGAAACCACCGCGCTCCACATGCTCGTGTCTGAGGAGAAGAACCAAAAGGGAGAAGACTCACTGATACAACAAGGTCGTGTCAGTTTGACTCCTGTGTATTTACTATACAAAAACTGGACTGAAGTGACACAAGTGACTCGCTCACCAGTGTTGAAAACGTGTACATCCTGCAGGGCTCCGATGGCGCTGCAACCGCCACTGACTAAAATCCTGTTGTCTGAAACCGGGAGAGCAGCGTGAAACCTACACAGGCAAAGGAAATATTTTCATTTGACCCCAACATCTCATTAAAGACTGTCTACTTACTATACTTTACACCACCAACTGTTTCTTTCATATTGAGATCAGTAAAATAATTTTGCAAAGAGGATTCTGTCATAAACTCCATTGGATTAAAAAAAAAGTCAGAAGATACAAAAATATATATAAAAGCAGATGGCTGCGCCGATGACATTCCTCAAGGTTGATTAATCATCTGGTACTCGCCCTCGAGGCAGCGGTGGCATGTTCCCACTCTTCACAGCTGTGTATTCCATGAATCCTTCAATTAAAATAAAATGTGACGTTAGTTTAAAGCGCAACAGAAGATTGACGTCTCATGCAGCTACAGAATCTTCACTTTACCCAAATCCAGAACATGCAGGTCATTAAGGTAGGTTGCAGTCTTCCGTCCACCAAATATGATCAACTTCTGTGACACCAGCGTGGCCGAGTGGCTGTTTCATGCAAACAGAAGAATGGCAGCAATGTTTAAAAAGGGGAAGACAAAAACAAAACCGCATTTGGATGACGGTAAATTGTTTGGAGAAGAAGACTGACCCAAACCGAGGCAGCGGTTTGTCCCCTTCCACAATCGGCTGGTACCAGAGTTCAAACTCTGGGCTGAAGATGTACAGAGCATTACTGCAGGATTTATCCACCGAAGCGTGACTTGGCTGAACTCCACCAAAGACAAAAAGCTCTTTCTTATAAAAGGCAGCGGAGTGATACGCCACATTTGGAACATTTCCTTTTGCCTACATTTTGATGCAAAAACAAAACAAAAAACATGTTAAAGACCTCTACTCGATAAGAAAAAAATACTGCAAACACGTTAATAACTCGGAACAAACCCACAGTAATAAGCTTCCACTTCCAGGTCAGGGTATTTAGGACGTACAGCTCGCTGTAGCGCTGGCCCTCCCTCAGGCCGCCGTACACAAAGAGCGACTTCGAGCCGGGGTCGTAGGTCGCAGAGTGTCCCCGGGCACACCGAGGCACGGGTCCAGAGACAGAAGAGTTCATTGGGAACCAGAAGTCGTTGTCTGGGAAAATAAAAAAAGTTCATTGGTTCATTCATTCTTTGTATTCTTCGCTGTCAATGCAACAACCCATGTGCAGACATTTGAGGGCTTCCAATTTGGCCTCAATTGCTTGTAGTAACGTACGACCACACGGGTCAGTAACAGACTCCACTGACCCAACTCGAGCTTCCACAGAGAGTCCTCGCAGTAGTTCTGATCCGCCGTCTCCCCTCCGATGAGGATGGCGGTGTCGGGGTCACTCAGACACATCGTATGGCTCCAGCGCCTCGACGGGCATGCTGAAACTGAAAGCAAGAGCTCTGTCAAAACCCAGCCGGAGCTTTTAAGGCGTGACCCCCGGTAAGCCTCCCAAGGTTCTCCAGACCGTCTCGGTTTTCTCTCTTTATCTGCACGGTCATTTCTTCTTGGCTGTTGATTCTGGACACCCTCATCTTCTTGGAGTTTGAGGCCTCGTCCACGTCCTCGGAGCTCCACGTCAGGCGGCCTCTCTTGCTGATAACAGTCCGTCTGGGCGTCTTATCCTTACAGGGGGTTTAAAAATCGCAGAACGAGTCACACACACCGTACCTGCGGGGAAACAGTCTTGAGGGTGACTCTTACCGTAGGCCAGACTGGGGTTTTCTTCCCCATGGTGGGATCGCTGGTGTCAATTTTATCCACTTGGATGTCCGCGTCGCAAACACTATCACCAAAGTGGGACGAGTTGGGGGTTTTCTGGAAGGCACGACGAATAATTACATCCGGCAGCGTAGAACGTAGGGCCAAACGATTTAGACCTCGTTCGTCTCACCGTTTCATTTCCGCCGCTTTGATGCAACACGGAAGAGAGATCGGTGGCATCCCGCTGCTCTCCGAACACGCCCTTCCTCTGAACCAGAGGTGTGCTGCTGAAGACGCTGACTTCATTCGGTTGATGGTCACAAGTCTTTTGTGTGAAACAAAAAAAAACGGTGACGTCACCATTGAGGGAAGCCAATATTAATATTGTTGTTAGGTTTGTTATCGAAATGCAAACAGTAAATACAAACCGTCCTACCTCCCCGCACACTGTGAGAATAATCTTGCCATAAACTCCTCTCCTGCCTTTCTCCGCCGCCACTGCGACCACGTCAGGGCTCCACTCGCCCTCCCAGGTCAAGCACCTGAAATCAGGTCAAAGTACATTATTTATTTCTGGATTTGTCTTGTGCAGCTAATGCTGCTCGCTCACATACCTCGCTTGAGCCGAGAGAGTCCCGATTCTCTGGGCCAGTAGCTCTGCACTGACCAGGACGTCCACGGAGATTGGGTTCTCGCTGCATTCCCATTCTCCGAGGCCGAAGATGACCAGGTGTTTGGGGAGAGGCAGCGGGATGTGGACTTGGAAGACGCTCCGGTTGGACTTGCTGCAGAGGGCGAGGCGCGCGTTTGAATTGTTGTGGTCAGTGTGAAAACTGAATAATTTAGTTCTAAATATTAATTTAATGAAAAAATAAATAAATGTGAGAAAGCCTACCTGATGAACTGGCGGGGGGCGTCACGCAGGGACCAAAGGACATAAAAATGCAACCTCCCCATTGTCGTTTCAGGTCGCTCGCAAGGAGTGAAACGCACGAGCAGCAGCCGACATGTCTTTGGTTCAACATGGAGCTCGGATACTCTATTCTGATTGGTTGATTCAAACTCGAGGCAGATGAGAAAACGCACAGCTGAAACCGCGCCACCATTGATTTTTTAATTACCGAGTTTATCCATCGTTAAAACACCTGCATTGTTTGGCTGGGTTCAGCTATTTTTCAAGTAAATCACAATTTTTCCATTCAAATTGCTGAAATTGCAAAAAGGGTTCATGTTCGATGTATTTTGCGTGACTACTGACTTCCCTCACCTGTGTGAACTGCTGACGTGAAAGAAGAGCTAACATGAAGTGGAATTACTGAGTGTATCATCAAGTTTATGCCTTTCAACGTTCTGAGGTAAAAAAACAGAGCAGATAATTCTGAAAAAAGATGCGCTAAGTGATCATTTTTGTAAAGGGAGAAAAGCCATTCAATAATAATTACTGGTATATTCAGTGATTTCATGTTCAGACCAGAGTGTGCAAAGTGGTTTGAATGTTACAGCATGTAATTGGAGTGGGCTAAATACACCTCTGCTACGATTCAGGTAATTACAACAACACCTCGATCCATAGTCTGAAATATTGCCTGGCTGTGCATATCTTACCTGCAGATTAATGTTCATGACTCAAGTTTACATGAGGAAAACAGCCAAAAATATAAAGACATTAAATAAGTTACTGTACATCTCATAAATAATTAAAGTATTTGTAAGTGGCTTCATACAACAATACGTTCAGAGCACCCAGTAAGATGTGAGGGACCACAGATGTAACTGGGGAGTGACTGGCCTTCAGGGAGAGCTGAAAATAAAACCTGGTTTCATCAGCACTTCTGGAGCAATTACATCAATCCCCTAATGCCACAATTTGATGGAAACACGGGGGACACGCCTAAAGAGCTTTCTAATCTGGGATCAGCGGTGAGACCGTCACGAGGGTTGAGGGACCAGACACAAAAGCTGCCTTAATGACACATCGCAAGTGTCAAGTAGCAATGTTTACCTGCTCTTCACTTTCCAAATTTACAATCTACTAATTTGAGTTTATATGTTTGATCCAATTGTCAAATAAATCACAAAGAAAACTATCCAACCTTCTCTTTATTATGGAATATAAATTTCAGGAACAAACATCGTCATCATGACTTACAGTAAAAAGGTTACAGTTCAGCAGACATGGAAAGCTTTAAACCCGTTCCTTTACATTGTGCACAGCGTTAACAGACAATGCCTGGACATTTTTGGGGAGTGAGCGTGGTCCAATTGTGGATTTTCAAACAAGGCAACACCATTGGAAATGTATGCCAAACGCACCGAAGGAGATTCAAAAGCAGTGACCTTCACTCACATCTGAGCTCAAAATGCATTTAGATGAAATATTACAACTGCTTGCTACCTCTGATACAGCAAATTAATGGAGGGAGAGCAACTGTAAATATTGAATCTATATTACATAATAAGAGCTTTGTGCGATAAGGGATGGGTTTTATTTGTGTCATAAAAAGCACTCTGGCAACTGTTCAGTACAATCAACTTATACATTTTACCAACACACCGATATGAACTCTGTGCACGCAATTTGTATTCTATCATAATATTCTCCATTATATAGTTTGACAACGACAGAAAATAAGTTAAGATACAGGGCAGAAGGACAAATACACAAAACAACAGGTGTACGCTCACAGTACACACAACAAACACAACAAAACAATTTCTTTAGAGCACTGCTGATTAAGCACCTGGCCTGATGAATTCTGTGCAGGTGTTCCCTGATCACTGCTACCATAGAAATGTCACAGCAGAGGACGATTCATGTAAATGACGGGGACACTGGACCAAATAGCACAGGGACATAGCACAGGGGTCTTGAAATATATATATTTCAGTAAGACATTGGAGCAAATTTTGCATTCAAAACTATCTAATCAGGAATTCAACACAAGTGGATTGTGTTAAAAATAGATATGCTGATATTTAACATTTTTATATTATATCTTTATATATATTTTTTCAAAGTATGGAATCAAAAATAGTTTGCCGGTCTTACGAGCGGTGTTGCTCTTTAAATTCAACATTCACAAACATGCATCTCAGGCACTGTAATAAACTCTGTAGTAGAGAGTTTTATTCCGCCACAGGGAGTAGGAGTTATCAAACTTCAGCAGGTATGTGCCTTCACCTGGAAAATCGTGGCTCCCCCCCTGAACGGACATGTGACTGTCCTGGCGGTAGACGGGCAAGATCTCTGCCAAGTTCGAGTTGGTCTGAGTTTTGGAGCCCTTCTCGACGTCTCCGTTGCCGACCGGCCCTGCAGCCACAAATCACAAAAAAGCACAAAGTTTACACAGGGCCTCAGAGACCAGCCAGAGAGAAACCTGCAAAACAACAAAACAACTATGGCCTGTTTATAGGTATGGAATAACTGCTGTGTTATAGAACGATAAACTTAGGCCGCTCTACACCACAAACTGACAGCAACTGACCTTCCAGCTCCTCCTCTTCGTCTTCATCATCACTCGACTCGCTGATGTGCACAGTGATGGCCCGGCTCGTGACGGGAGTCCAGTCGAAATATATCCCGAAGCCAATGTCATAACTATCTGTGGCAAACTCCCAGCACACTTTTTTGGCCTCGGGCACGGTGGGCACGTGGACGGTCATGATGTCGCCTCGGTACACCGTCACCATGCAGTCGTCCTCCGTTCGCAGCTTCGCTTTCAGCTCCTTCAGCGAGGCAGACGTCCAGGTGGTCGGAGGCGCCAGGGGCGGCGTCTGGGCTGCCGTCATTAGGGGGCAAAATGTCAACGTGTCCACGAAGAGCAAAAGCGGCAGCTTTGATAGCCATTTTATCTAGCCTGATGTTCTTAAAAACTGTGATAAAAAATATTTACGAAACGGGCTGATTCAGAATTGAAAGATGAAAACCAAGCAGCAGTTACGGCGGTACGCTGTGCAGGTGCTCACCTTTCATCTCAGCAGACAGCGGACTGCTGGCAGCACCGCTGTTCTCCTCGCCTCCGTCCCCCTGGGCCAGCTCTTCTGAGGCCGCTACATTGCCCTTAAAATGGAAAAAAAACACGTTGATGCTATATTCTCTTGCTCTCCCAGATTTTTGCCCCTTATTGTCAGCGTGCGTATGAAATACCTCCGGATGTTGCTCTGGATCCTCCTTGGTTTCATCCATGTCAGCTTGCTCTTTGGTCGGGGTGCAGCTCTGTGAAAGGTCTGTGTTCTGGAGCCTGAATATCAGCAGGGAAAAAAACAACAACCCCATCACAATACATAAACAGAGAAGACGTGGATGCGAGGAGCGCGATCAGCAACAGGCTACCTGTCCAGAGGCTGTTTGTCGCTCTGCTTAGATGTGATTCCGGGAAACGACGAGAAGGAGAGAGAGGACAACCGCGACTGGAGCTCTGATGTGGCTTCTAATCTCTCCATGGCTGTAAAGGCAAGACAAACAGCTCAGTGTGCGTGGCTAGAACAGATGAAGCCCCGCCCCCGCCGACCCGGGAGACGACAACAGCAGAAAAAATTAGCCTAGAAAAAAAAAAAAAAAAGAAACACTGGTTAAATAAACTAAACAAACTGGAACTACAACTGGCATCATTAGCCGAGGTGGGAACTGGTTCACTAGAAGCTGTCGCCTCAGAAGCAAAGTGCGTCGCTTTACGTGAAGGCTTCCGCTGGTTAGCATCAACCTCTGGCGTTAACTTTAGCTGGGAGGCTAGCTCCGTTAGCTCACAGCAGCTAACGCTCGCGAGGAAGGCGGAGAAAAAGTACATCCGTGAGGAGCCGCGACAGCTATACGCGTTTATCTCACCACAATGTAACGCTGCTAGTCGACACACGATGTTACTTCAGTCCGAACTCAGGCCATTTCGTTCATGTGACGGAGCTCGGTACGCGGCGCTGTTGCTGCTCGGCAGGAGGAGAAGAAAAAAAAAGCATAGCCGAACTGATTTGACACTTCCGCGTCTCACGAGCGCTGACGAAAACCGGCGATTCTCACGCGCCGAGATGACGGCGAAGAAGTTTAAACGTTTCATTGCTGCTGGAGTTATTTCCCCATTCTTGTTTTCCACTTACTTTAGTTACACTAACTATATGAAGCAACAAACATTGAGGACACAACATGTACGACTATCACAAAACACGGGGGCCTTTTTTATTGCATAATGTTCTTATTACATTTCACTATAAAAACAATGAAATGTACAGAATACGGAACACACGTTTAAGCCCGTGTGGTGGATATACTTCGAAAATGTCACAGTTGTTCTTCACGTTAGATAGCAGCTGTCTTATTTGGCTGGCAAAGCAGGGATGTGTACACAGCGGTGAGGCACTGCTGCGTGGATCCGCTGCTCGATAGAAAGCGCAGCAGCGGCGTCTCTTTGGTCTGAGCATCGGTGAGAGAAATCCACGGAAAAGGTCTTTGTAGGGGAAAGAAAAAATGGTTTGTTCAGGACAGATAAGAAACACAAATTAAAATAAATATATACATATCCACATGTCTACTCACTCATCCGTGCGAAGGGAGGCTGCGCTGGAGAAATTGCGCGCGTCCAATTGCACGGCGTTTGGACACTTGTCTTTGAGGACGTTGTTGATAAGAGCGAGAGCATCACTGGATCCCAGACCACTAGAGGTGCAGATGTTTAACAGGCTGTACAACACTGCACTCACCCAGGTCAGACCCACGGAAATGCCACCTAAATATAGTGAATTATAGAAACACAAACTCACTTGTAATAATGTAAAATCAAGAGGGAAGCATTGCTCACGTGTTTGTGAAATTATAGCCGGAGAAAGAAAAGTCTGCAACAATGAAACATACCGCTGGTTGTAAGAGGACACGATGCCTCTATCAATAAAGGATTTCTCAGGTCCTTGATCAGTCCGCTGCAGGACAGCCACACATCTGCGGCGTCACACGCGATAAAGTCATACTGCGGGTTGAGGGTGAAATCGTGTCCAAGAAGCCGAGCCAATCTGAAACGAAAGATCAGAAACGAGAGGGATTCGGTGACTGGAAAATCCACATTTGCTTTTGTGTGTGTGTGTGTGTGTGTGTGTGTGTGTGTGTGTGTGTGTGTGTGTGTGTGTGTGTGTGTGTGTGTGCAGGCCTACCAACTCTCACGGTTTCGCCGTGTGACACACGCTTTTGCATGTTTTCACACGCACTCACGCCACACAACCAATTTCTCACGGCAAAAAAAAAAATCTGATTTTGGGCCGAAGCGCGTTCGTTCCTTTTCAAACTCCCCGACAATAGATGGCGCTAAGGAGCGCATCTGTAAACCCATTCGCTGCATAGACATCCTATTTACCCCAAAGAGTCCCGAAGTTAGCAACAGAAGAAGATTTTCAAACAGACACAACCGCGGGAGAAACTCAGGAGGAGCAAAGACTAAGGTATGTTAATGACATGTGGTTCAATTAAGTACTCACTCTCTTAAACTTTAAATCTTGAAAGAAATTATTTGTTGTGTTTGTGCGTGTGATTTTGAGTGGTGAATGTAAACTCAGCTGTCATAACAAGCAGCAGGAGAGCACCTTGTTAACCTCTTGGTGTACTGCATGCTCAAAACACAAATTACTAACCAGCTTCTGATCTCCTTCTTAATACCTCATTTTTTGTTATTTTATTTATGTGTATTTATATTATGTGTATCCATTGTTTTGCTTTGAAAGGCTACTGTTTAAGCACTTTAAGCACTTTATTTGTTGCACTTTTTTGTTTGATAATGAAAAATATTTTTCCCTAACTAAACTTGTGTCATTTTTTGCTGAACATAAATCATTAAGTGCTCTTAAGAATACAATTATTAACAATATAGGTTAGGTTTCAGTTAAGAATTAGTTGAATACCATTGTAATCAAAATGTCAATCAACCTAAATTGGTCTAATCTTAAACACAGGTCTATTAATTAGGCTATATTGTGGTACATAGACAGTCATTGAGGCACAGCAATAGTTTTCTGGTTGAATGTTCAGCTCAAGTCTAGAAGGCCCAACAAGTCATGAGCAGATGAACATAAATCAGAATAAGTTCAGGCATACCACCCAAAAATCCACGAGAATGCATGAAATAACATCTACTTAAACCAAAATGTCCTGGGGGGTGGACCATCAGCTATGTCTTTGCTTCACAGAATGTAACCAATGTTGTCCATCTCCAGCAGGCCGCCCCTATCAACGACTTTGGGCCCCACAAACCACCAGAATGCAGGGTACAACATGGGTACTACGCCAAATGAATTCCAATTTCCTGATATTTGAGCCACCAACGTGTGTGGCTGCGTGCGCGGCAAAATTTTGGTCACCCCCGACAAAATCTCACTCCAAGGTTTTTTGAAAAGTTGGCAGCTCTGGTGTGTGTGTGTGTGTGTGTGTGTGTGTGTGTGTGTGTGTGTGTGCGTGTGTGCGCGCGTATACCTGGAGACGGGCACGCCGCTGGGGAAGCTGTACACGAGGCAGCGCGTGGGCAGGTGAGAGCGCAGGTCGGCGCAGACTTTGTGCAGGTGAGAGGGCAGACAGCAGAGGAACAGCACGTGCGCCCACGCGCCCAGTCTGCGGTTGTCAAAGAAACATTCAACTCCCGTCCTGGTGGATTCCACTGAAAGAAGGACGCGGGGAAGTGAGGTGGAACTTAGTGAAATCAACTCATGCCTTCATCACTGTCTCATACTGTGAGGACATTCATTTCATTCCGTTTATTATATGGCAAAGATCCTTAAACTCTTGTCTGTAATAAAAGACTGAGATACACTTTTGGGGAAACATTATGCATCATAAGTATCAAATCCTAGCTGACATTCATGTTCCACGACAGTAAGATCTTTATAAAATTGTGTACATTTTTAGTTTATTATTACTAAATGTGTTTATTTATACTGTCAACCGTTGATTGTTTTTCAGTCTCTTTCCCTTATAGAAGAGAAAACAGAGCAGTTCCAGGCTTGACAGACACTTGCTGGTTTATCCTTTTTACTGCACCAGAAGGGAAAACCAGAAGCTCCCAATCAAAGTTAAATGAACTTTGATTGTTTGAAAGTTAAATGAACTTTGATTGGGAGCTTCTGGTTTTCTCAACGCACCTACACATTCTGGTCTCCTGCTTGAGATCTTAATGTGCGACGGTTTGATGCCAGACTCGAGGAGGGTGAGGAGCAGCTGTTTCCCCATTTGACCCATCCCGAGTATCCCAACGCGGAGGTCACCGTCTCCTTCTGCCGACGGGCCTCCGAGACTTTCGATGGTACGTCTGTAAACAGTGACGTCATCGGAATGACGTCAAAAAGTAACATTGCGTTTGATGAAGGTCGTTAAGTTCTTCTCGTGTGCGAATGGTAATCGATGGGTAACAAATACCTCAGCGAGTGGACCAGTTTGCACAAGAAAGCTGCGTGCGCGCACCCGCAAAACGTCAGTCCAGCCGCGCGCGCCCGCAGGAAGATAAACGCTTTCTCTTCTTCGGTCAGTTCGGCCTCGAAAGAGAAACTAATTAAACCAGCGGACACGTCCATCATCTTCTCACAACTTCGACGGCGGTCAAATGTCAAGAAGCAAGAAGTCTATCGGGACAAGTCTCACAACAGAATTAAGAGTTACAACGGTTTCGATGGCAACAGAACAACTTCCGATCATTTGATCGATTCAACATTTCAAAGTAAAATGACTGCTGAGAAACTTGGGATTTTGTTTATAGGGGGCAAAGAAGAGTTTATCTACAAGTAATAGCTAAAAAAAATACTGCTTAGGGGATTCAAACGTTTTTATTTCTCTTTCATGCTTTTAATACAAATTAAGCTGTACACTTATATACAAGAAATATGGGCAAAATGACATGTCTGACAGTATATCAAGCCAAATATTATTCTAACAAAAAATAATTGTGCAAGATATTAAGACTTCAAGATTTTGAATAACAGGCTTGTCATTAACTTAATGTGAGCGCTGACTGACAAAATATTTTAAACCGTTTTAATTTTCGGAGCAGTATTTGAGAAAATTCCCAACATTGATCCACACTTAATAACCAATTTGGATAGTCGTCCAGTCCTTTTTCTCTTAGTCTCTTTAAAGTACTGATAAAAGAATGTAACACATTCCGTTTCTATACTTTTTCTCCTATATATGGATGAAATGTTACACATTAGGAATATTTACAGTAAATATCAAAGCCCACATACAGGATATTATACAAATCAAGTCATCACACCTACAATATTAGTGTTTCTTGACACTTAAATAGGAGTAGAGAACGCGAACACACAACTTGTAAACAGAACTGCTTTAGAATTAAGCAATTGTGACAACCACCTATTTCTTCATTGTTTTTGTATATTTAAAATGCTGTTTTCTATCATAATGCAAATCAAAATCCACATAAAGATGTTGCTTATAAATTAATTCCTCTTCATACATCCTTTGATTAAACAATGATGATAATCATGAAGGCACCGTGAGGGAACTGTTTAGCTGACACAACCAGAGTCACAGTAGCTCAAATTGCCACATAAAAATCACGAAGGTTATTACACAAGGGCTGTGTGCACATCTGAGGACCTCTTTAAAAGAAAATGCAGCTTCAAAGAAACTTTAACACGTTTTTTTAGCCGTTGCTTCATGTGCCGTCACGGTTTCAGACAGGTACCATACGGCAACAGGAATCATTCCTCGCCCTGCCTCCATTTCTGAGACTCCTCCTGCCGTGCGTCTGGGTGTATCTGGTTCCTCATTCCTCCCAGGACGTTGGAGGTGGCTTCAGTGGCCATGATGAGCGGCTTTACGACAGCCGGCGGCAGCTGGCGGAGGACGCCACCCACCGCCCCCGTCATCCCGCGCTGTTCATGCTCCCTGGTGGCCGTGTCATAGATAGTCAGTGCTGTGTCTGTGATGCCCTGTGGACAGAAGCAAAATCCTCAATAGGTTGTTGTATCAATATCAATGGAATTTTAGTGAAAACATTGTTCATATGTAGCTTTATTGTTTACCTCTTTTACAACGGTGTAGGCTTTGGCTACACCTTCTCTCAGGTCAACAGGCTGATGAGCCAGTCCGTAATGGGAGAACCGTTTCACCCTCTTTGTGTCCCTCTCATCGGGCACCGGGGACACCATGTCGTAGGCCGTCTCAGCTGCTGCCTAAATTGACACACGTCGATAAGATTGGTCGGACGCCTCGTGAGCGCGTCGGTTTTGAGCGAGAGCACAACCACGGGTTTACCTGGATGGTCCGCACCATCCGGTTGGTGAGCTCCAGGGCGGCCATGGCGGTAGAGGTTCCGAAGGAGGCGGTGCCGCGCTGAAACCCGCGGACGATGCGGCCGTCTTTCCTGTACTGCTCGATCGGGAGCCAGACCAGGTCCCTGAATCCCTGAACTGAAGAGAACATGCACCTTAAGAACCGGCAATCCATTACAACTTTTAGTTGATTAGTTGAGAACGTGTCGTTTACTCGCCGAGTTGCACCAGAGAGTGAATAGGTCCCACACCACCCAGTAGTCCTGGTAGCTGGTTCTTTTTTATGTCACTTAGCCACTCGTTTATTGCATAGGCAAACAGCTTATCCACACCCAATAATCTGAAATACAGAGAATAATAAATATCCATCATTTTTGCTGTTACCGCCTTAATCAAATATATAAAATAATAAGCAACGCTGTCTGATATAATGCATCACAGGGGTAAACATACCCTTGTCTGTAGCACAGGCGCCTCAGTTTCAACTCTGAACAATTGAGCTGCGTCAACCCGATAACTATCCCTGCAAACGTTCCCTGTAAGAGAGCAGTCAAAAGATCATTCATAAAGCACAAATAGTATATATCGTGGATTGATGCGCAGGCCTCATGTACCTGCTCCATTGCAACATGTTTCCCGTGGTAATCCAAGCGAATGGGAACCTCACAGGTGAACCGAAACTCCCTTTTTTGAAAAAGCAAATGTTACAGAAACAAGCGATGAAATATTCTCATCAAAAAGCTGTGGGGGGGGGTTCATTGTTTAGTTATTTAACTAACCTAAAAAAGATGGGTTGGTCTGTGAAAGAAGTAGCTGAGGCCTCATTGTCGTTCACTTCCTCCCTGCCGGATGTGGTGAAACCATTGTGGCTGGAACGCCTCTGGGCGGGAACCGAGATGATGGGCGCCGGGTCCTGGCTGCTGCTGGCCGGCTTGGAGAAGCTGCATGTGATCTCTGGGGCAGCCGTTTTTTTTGTGGAAACACAGACAACTACAGAACAAAATGTCATCAGGAGTCAATACTGGCAAAAAGGGTTTATGTTTAATTCCGTCGCAGTTTGCGGCACTTTTTTTTAACCTTCTTGAGCAGGTGGCGAGAAAAACTCGACCTCAGTCGCGAGACTTGAGAAGAAGTCCTTCAAGAAGAACAGCGCATCCTTGGAACAAACAAAACAAAACAAAAAAACATCACATAAAAGGTTACAGAGGACACAGGTGTAAAAACCATCTGTATCAAATACTTTTACCTGATCGATATTGAGGCGGAGAGGCATCAGGGAAACACGCAAACAGCACTCTTGGGGCGCCTGGCCGGACTCGGGACACATGTGCAGTGCCTTAACTGTCAACTAAAACCAAAAGCACACAGTGAGTCACACAAGGCAGAGCCCTGAGCGTGTCAGCGTGAGTGTGACGCTTTCCTCACCATGTTCGAATGGGCTTTTCTGGGCATTTCCTTGCTAGAATACAAGTACAGGAACTTGTTCATCTGTGAAGTAGCCAGTCTGTCTCGAATCTCCAGGTCCTGCACGACAAACACCTGCCGGGACACTGGCTGGTCCGCTGCAGGTCCAGAAGCCACCTGGCCCTGTGGGTACACCTCATGCTGAAATCTCACCTAGGGAAGAGGGCAAAGAGAAGCAGGTAAACGGTGAAGAAATGACAGAGAGACATGATAAACCTGTATTCAGAGGCAAAGAGGAACGTTACTTTGCTGAGCTGTATCTCCATCAGGACTTCAGGGTTTCTTCCTCTTCCGCCTCCCGTCCGCCCTGAAGCCTTTGAGGCCTGTCTCACCGGAGTCTGAGAGGGGGAGCTATGGGGGGTCGACCTGCAAACATGAGGAAGAAAAGGACACTAATTTCTCATGTCGGTTTCCTTTCTAGCACATTGAAGGACCTTGTGTGAACACAGTGAACGTCTCACCCGCGGCTTCTCGCAGGAGAGGATGTGAAAGGGCCGCTCCCAAAGTCCTTCCCACCATAGAGGTGCCATATGACCGAGATCTCTTTGATGAGGTAGCGCACCTCTGGGATGGGAAAGTTCATGGCTCCACGGCTGGAATCACTCCCGTCTAGAGGCTGACTGAAGTAATCGTCTTTGATTTCCACAGGATCTGACGTAAGCCGCTTTACCACCGGCTCTTGATCGATATCCTGAAACACATATTGCTTCCAGTGAGCCACAGGTTTTCAGCCTCCGTGTGACCAGTAGCCAGAGGTGTGTGAGCGAGTAGGTCCCGACCTGTCCTCTGGAACCCGGTGTCTCCAGGATGCAAAAGTCATCGGCCTCGTGCGCCGGGTTAGGGACAGGAGTGATGAGAGGAGAGTGGAGCATCGGGTAAGTGGGGCTCGAAATCTGGTTGACATTCCCGCTCTCATCGGGGAATAAGAAGAGGTCTGAGTGAGGCGGGTCTTGGTCTTCCTTCCGCTCGTCACATCCACCTGTAGACGCGTGGGAACATATTGAACCAGGATTAAGTGATTCGTGGAGCTAAAAGCTTCAATGTTTACGGAACAAAGTCTTCACCATTCTGCTGCAGCCCTGGTGCATGCTGCCCATCCGTTTCCTCCATGGCTTCACTCATCAGATCCTGCAACATCTGCTGCTCGGTCTCAGCGAGCAGCAGGGTCTGAGATGGGGGCCGGCTGGGAAACTCCGCCTGTCCACAGACACACTCAGTAATAAGAAGGGACGACCAGTGGAGATCTTCGGTGCCGCAGTGTTGGTTCACGTCGGCGTGTGACTGCCGACCTTGGTCCTCTGTGTAGTGCCGCTGTGTTTGGCCTCCGGTTCCGCAGGGGGGAGCAAGTCTCCGTAGCTGGCGATGTACTGGATGAGGTTCATGAGGGCAGCGCAGGAGTCGGCACACGTTCTGATGTGGATGACGTCGCTGGAGCAGCGCAGCTCAAATCTGGGCTCCGACTGTCGCCAGAGACACGGTGAACCACGACGCACACAAAAATAAAAAGTTCAGTTACAGACGGTCAACTCTTACCAACTTTCCACCGGCTCCCGGTTTGACCGCTGTAATCCTCAGCTCCAATGTCCCCATGTCTACCACTTGGACGTAATCTGAGAAAAACAGAAGCAAGCATTGGTCGAAGCTGTGCGTGAACATTTTAAGCAGTTGAATTCAAATCCTTGCGCGTGTCAACTGACCTCGCACCAGATTGACAGAAACCGCGTTACTCTTGTCTGAGAGGAACAGAGCCGCTTCGTCCAAAATGATCCTGTGCAGAAGACGTTATTCTCAGCAAAAGTAACTCGATCGTAATTTGTTCGCTCAATGTTGTGTCGGCAAAACCAGTAGCCAGCTCATACCTGAGTGTTGAGGAGGACAGATCTAAGGAGACGCTGCTGGAAATGCT